CTCGGCCCCGGCAGATGAACCTCAGGATTAAAGGGTGGGCTCAGTTCAGCGCACGCTGTGTCTCACCTAAAAAATCCACTGCGCAGGCTCGGAGGGTTAATGACCTTTCCCAAATCTTCACTCGCGAAGACTGACCATATCATATCATTATCATATCATGACTCAGCTATTCAGTTTGTAACAGGCATGATACTGAGGTGAGAAGACTGCATTTTATAGCAATGGTTATTTGAGTACTTGGTGGTTATTAATACAACAGTAGCACAAACCTGTACTGCACTGTTTTCAGTATCTTTATTGTGTTCTTTTTTATGTTGGGAAGGGTATGCCAATATGGATCTAATACAGAAAATTTTTTTTCAGGGTTGTTTTTATTGTCATATAATTCTATTTTTCTCATTTTTATTCTTTTAGGGCTGGTGGACTGGGTCTTAATTTTGTGGGTGCCAATGTTGTTATACTGTTCGATCCTACGTGGAATCCAGCAAATGATCTTCAAGCAATTGACAGGTACACTCTCAAAATACAGAACTTATCCATGTTGTACTCTTCTTTCGCTTTCATTCCATAATCTGATTCTCCAACTAAAACTTTCCTTGAGGAAGAAAGTTTTTACTATAACTTTTTGTGATCTCTATAGAATGGGGGTGTGTGTAGCTATCATTTTTCTTGTGTTTTTCATGACAGAATACATTGTAGTTGACCCCAGTTAAAGTGATGTTTTGAATTCCAGACCCCCTAAAGACAACCTTTCTGCTTCACCCTTGTGGAGATTAGAGTATTTTCAGCACTCAGTTCTAGCTCTTATATTATGCTGTTGGAGTATTTCTAGTAATACAGATATTTCTTTCAAGGCTTTTTGGCTGTGGGATGTTTCCCTAGGAATTCAAGACAGACTTCTGGCTGACTGAAGTAAAGAACATTGAAAGCTATGAAAATTCAGTAGCTCTATATATTTTTATGAGCAGAAATAAATTGTTTCTGTTATCTCTTGCAATTATATAATTCCATTTTAAGGGTCTTTCTCACTTCTAATACATATTTATGTTCACCTGTTCAACAGAAACATGTATTGGGTACTTCTTTAAAGAATCTTTGCGAGATCACATTTCTATGAATTGGTTCAGCCTCTTGTGAATGTTGTGGAATATAGTTTATTAGATGTCTCAGAATTTACCATTTGGATAGAACACTGCCAGTGTTCATTAGCTGTTTTTATGATATTTTAACTTGCAAAGTGCTTTAGAAAGTTAAGAAAGAACAGACTGTTCCATGTAATCCATGAACTAATTCCTCTATATAATACAAATAGGAGAATACCTTGAGCAAGAGCAGGTGTAGACAGAGAGGAGAAAAGAAAAATGAAACAAACCTGAGATAAACAGAGTGGAAGACATGTTTTCAGAAGAGATGGGATGCAGTTCTTGTGATACAAAATGAGGAGAAAGCTTTTTAACTTCATAGGCCTCTGGAGAAACATGGAATACTAAGGGTAAAGGAAAAGGAAATTAATTACTGAGGAAAATGTGGAAAAGAAAAACAACCCAACCAACGCAAGCATGATTTAGAATAGTCCTATTTTATTAGAATGCTTTTACTTATTTTTGTGTTTATTTACTACCGCAAGAGCTCTCTTATCTCTTAAAATGTTTTTTGATGTGCCACTGTCCTTGCAGAGCTTACAGAATTGGCCAGTACAGACCTGTTAAAGTGTTTAGATTGATCTCCTTGGGAACTGTGGAAGAGATGATGTATTTGCGACAAGTTTATAAACAGGTAAAGTTCACAAGCTTTTTAAATTTGGAGCTCTTTTTAGCAGTCTTGGTGACTTAAAGCTAATCTAGCCTATAGCAAAATTGTAATTTACTTTGGGTTGATGATATATGCTATTAACTTAACTTACAAAGCAAAGATACATCATTTAGCAATTGTCAAAAGTCACAAATTAAGAAATAAGATGATTGAATTTAAGGTTCTGACATTATAGGCATGTAAACTGGGACAAAGGTAGAAAACCAGTGGGGTACAGTTGTCCTGAAGAATACACTGCATAGAAAAGATAAAATTAGGTCACCTCAGTGGGAGAGTGATACAACATATTGAAGAAAACCTTACTAGATTTGAGGAATTAACCTAGTAACTTGAATTTTTGGCCATAAATAATAAAAAGTTGGTAATGAGTCCTCAGTGACAAGCAGTTGTACTTAGGTTATTTACAAGGAGGAAGCTGGAGACTGAATGAGTGGGAAATGCAGTTGTAAACAGATTGTCATTATTCTCCTTGGATTTAAGTAAGTGACAAGTAAGAATAAAGTTCTAAGATCCTCTGATTTCACAGAGCAGATAGTCAAAAACCTGACAGATCTAATCTTGAACTGCTCCCAGTAATGTGTATGGCTTGCTTTAAAATCCTACTTTCAAAGTGTAATGGTGACTTTCATCTTACTCAAATTCAGTGTTTTGTAGAAGCCAAGCAGCCATTAGAGTTCTGTTTAATTTTGACAAAATTATGTAAATAAAAAAGACAAAACTTGTTAAGGAGAAGTCAAAAGAAGTAGGTGATGGGCTGAGTTGGTAACAGGTAATTGGGCAATTTGCAGAGATTCTGTATCAGAAGCTCAGAATTAAGAAGATGCATTAGTAGTTGAAATCATATACTAACAAGGCAAGTTAAATATAATGCATGGTAAGTCCAAAATCTGTTTTTGAGGGACAGTGGTCCAAAAATATAAAAGCTAATAATTTACATTTTTAACATATCAGGAGTATGAATTGTACTGCTCTATGACTGTTACTTTAGCAAGGTTTGAAAGAGCGTTCCTTGCAAAAAAAACCCCTTACTTATATATTCTTCACATCCACATTCATGGGAAAATGTAGAGAGGATCCTCTTTCAAAGTTTTGATGTGCAAAGTACTTTTGAGGAGTCGTTTCAACAGCAGGAATCAGTAGGAGAAATCTCAGAAAGGCTGACAAAATGAGCAGTAGCAGATTACAGCCAGCTCCATTCACTAAAATCCTGAAGGATGGAAGCCTGCTTCACAGAGGCCTTGGGAGTTGGTGAACTTGTAGGAAAAGACAACCTGGATATTGTCTGTTTGGATTTCCAAAAACCATGCATAAAAATTCTTGAAAGGCTCCTGTGCCTTTTTTTTTTTTTCCTTTCAAATTGACTTGTGTTTCTCAAGTTTAATAAGAAGCAATAAAGGGAGGAATAGTAAATCTGAGATTCTTTTTTTTTGGCTACGCTTGGATTGCATTCCCTTGCTAAGTAAACATACAAGACAGTAAAAGAATAGTTACAATTTAGTACTGAGGAAAGCTAAGCAGTCAAGATATAGAGGAGTGCCTCTAGTGTGTATAGTTGGTGTCTGATATTAGCCAATGATACAAGTAAAAGGCTTCAAATATTTAAATTTTTGAAAATTCAGTAAAACCAAGCAGGTGTATATTGTACCACAGTCTATTATACCAGCATCTGCCAGGGAAATTAAAACATCCTCTCTTAGGAATTTCTCCCTGCTCCAGCTAAAGCTGTGTGTATAATGTGGGAGCCAGGAAATTCTGACGTGTTGTTGCAGCAAACTCTTCTCAAATCTCTCGTGTTATTCTGTTTTAGCAACTTCACTGTGCGGTCGTTGGAAGTGAAAATGCCAAGAGATATTTCGAGGCAGTGCAAGGATCAAAGGAACACCAGGGAGAGCTTTTTGGGATCCATAACCTCTTCAAACTTAGGATTCATGGGTCCTGTCTTACCAAAGACATCCTGGAGGTGTGAAGTGCTATCCTTTTACTTTTGGATATTAGTTTTACATTTTTTCTTTCCTCAGGAGATTCTTTTGTTGTCGTTTTGAATGGAAAAACTATAAAACAGAATGGTGAAACTGGAATAGTGTTTGTCTATGCAGTGACTTAAATGAAATAGGCATGCTAATTTCTCACTCTGATGTAGAGCAGCTAAATTGTTTTAAATCAAAGAATGGAAAAAGCTTGGATTATAATTCTCATAAATTTGCTAATATATTTCTTAATAAAAATTATTTAACTTATATTTTGATACTTTCACATGTTGTCAGCTTTGTGCGCAGATATTTTATTCATCAATAGCTCAAGCTGACCTTTTAAGCCGGAATTCTGGTCATAAAAATATTTTTTGTGATCATAGTAACCTTTTCATAGTACATTTTGAGGTGTCAAAAACTGTTTAATAAAATGTATTTTATAATGCCGTATTTTAGAATGTTATAGGGTGGAGGTAAGTAAATAACTTACGAGGCTTCATATTTTAAAATTAATTTCTTAGTTACTCTGAAAAGCCTGTTGGCCCAATTCCATAGTTTAAACTGATTTCAAGTATATGCAGTATTATACCTTTTTGTGTAAAGCATGTTTACTGCAGCTAGCTTGCATCTTGAAATTTATTGTAGCTTTATTCCAGGTTTCTTTCCATCCTTCCCATTATTTTGTTATTTTGCATGTGCTAGGATTTAGTCTGGACTTTGCTAATTGTGCTTCTACACCTCTGTAGAAGGAAAGAAAAAGGCTTTGGGTATTTTTTCCTGGACTTGCCTTTTACATGTAGCAAAACCAGTATCTGTTGATGTTAATTAAATATTTGATTGTTTTAGAGGGAAGGGCAGGTGGAAGCAGGAGTCATGACAGCAACTACCTGGCTGAAGGAAGAGAGTGCTCCGTGCAGCTCAGAGAAGGTGAGATGTCCCTGTGGGCTGTGGGCCAGAGCATGGCAGTCCCTCTAGTTTCTGGTACTGCAGTTGTTAGGCTGATAATACTTTTACCCTGTTGTTTAGAAGATTTTGTTTAGGGAATTGTGGAAAGGAGTGCAATTGGTTTAGACTGTTGAAAGCTTCAGGCTGTTTAGTTGTAGTCAGACAATGAGACAGTGATTCCCATCAAGTCAGTGGTCTGGTCAATACTGTCTTTTTTTTAATGTATGTAATTAAATAATGGTCTTCTTCTGGAACACGGTTTTTATTTTTTTTTTCCTGAAAAGGTTGGTTTTAATAGGAGTATTGTATTTATAGGAATGTTTTTGGCTGAACACTGTGTTCAGGTACTCAGGGAAGCAAGCAGTTAGATCTGTAATATGGCCTGCAAGAGTAAAGGTAGTATTAGATTAGATCACACTGAATGGTATTAAAAATTAGCTGCCATCTCTTACGCCTGTTGGAGATTTCTATGAGTAAATGTCAATATTAATTATTAATTTAATATGTGCCCTCACATTGATCATAACTTATTGATCATAGCTCATTGATAATACATCACTATATGGTTGTGATCTCACGTTGGACTTGGTGATAAACAGTAGCTTTCTAAGCTTATGTTGAATAATTTTTGATGAGCAGGATGATACCAGGATTTATATATTAATTTTAAAACATCTCTTCATGTACCAAATTTTAGTGTTTACCCTTCTGACTTTCCATTTACAGGTTGTCATAATTCTTGTCTCAGTAGTACAGAGTTTTGTAGCTGTGTTCTGGACTTTGGTATCTTCAAAATGTTTAAAAGTTGCCTGGGTGTAATTTTGTTTGATTACAGTAGGCCTCAACTAATTTTAGAGTGGACTGTTGTGTGCTCATGACTATTTTAATGTTGGCCCCCATATACAAGGTGGTTAACCACTGCAGTGAGATTTTTTTTTTAAATGACTGTTATTAAACAATATTAAGGTTTGAATCATGGAGTCACCTTTCAAACTACCTTTGAAAGATGAAAAGTAGCAATGAAATTAGTATAAACTTGAAAAATATGGATGTAGATTGTGAAGATATAGCTTGTTTTAGCAGTGTGCAGCATATATTGTCTCTAATATGTAATATTAAGTATTTATTTAATATTTGATTTTTAACCAAAATTATTGGTTTATTTTCATGATTTTTCTGCTAAAAATTTTCAGCTGCCAGAGACTTTAATAATTTCTCATTATGATTTATTTTGTATCTGCTTTCTATTTGCATTTTGTAATACCACTTTGTGTATTTTTTGCTTGAGTAACATAGTGAAAATCCGCTTTTTTTTACACGGCTTTGAAATTAGGTGTGTTCCATATACTATTAATGTTAAATAGCTCTGATGTAACTTTTTTTTTTTTTTTAGTATGAACAAGCAGACTGTAAAGAAGATGGAGATCCCCAAAGTGCTCAGGCACAATTAAACAGAGAAGAAATAGATTTTTGGGATGACTTCAGTGATGATGATATTCTGGAAACTTCTGTGAAAAAATGTGACAGAAGGAAGCCTTGCAATGCAAATAATTTAATGGTAGCAAAGGGTCAGCTTTCTTTAATGCAGTGTGGATTCTCTAAGTTGTTGCAGAGAGAAATTGAAGCTACCTCAGAAGGGGATGATAATTATAATTCTCATCAGTGGCCTTCTGATGATCAGACTGTAAGAAAAAACATAAATAGCAAGCACAGTGATTTTCAGAAATGCCAAAGCAGTGTGCCTGTTTTGGAGCATGGGAAAGCTGTTCTGGTAGCAGATGGAACTGATAAAAAAGATATGCATGGTACAGACTGGCTTGATTTCTCAGGCTCTGAGGAGGAAGGGGACAGAGAAAATGAGGATCAAGGCCTTTCCAAGCAACCTGATACAGTCTTGGAGACTGCAAGTAGTTCTGAAGAGGGTGATGATGTCATCTTTTCTACTCAAGTTCAAGCAGTGCCTACTAAAAAAGTTGAAATACACAGGTCAACATCTGGAAATTGCAAAGAGTTAGCAAAAGAAAAAACTGGGTTTGTGTTTAAGGGAGCCAGTAGGCAGTTTGGGTTCCACAGTGTTGAGTCATCTTTTGAAGACATCAAGGATGACCCAGGTTTGAAAGGAGCAAGTGACATAAGTGATGAATCTGATGATATTGAACTTTCCCAGGATTCTGAATCAAGAGAGCTAGAATCTTTCAGCTTTCCAAAACACAAGGAAAGATGTGCCCTTAAACATGAACTCGATAATGTCTCCAAATCTCTGCTACAAGCAAAGAAGCCCAGTAGGAAAGAAAAAGAAAGTGATTCACAGAATATAGATGAATTTTCATCCTGTGAAGATGATTTTCCAGCTGAGAAAACTGAGACCAGAAAGCAAAGCCATAAGTGTAAAAGACAGAGAGGCAGAGTTCAGTTTGGGTCTAAAACACTGCATCCTATTCAAGATACCTCTGTTGCACAAATGGAGTCTGGCAGTTATGCTGTGCATAGAACTTCTGCAAGAAGAACTGAATTTGAGCATCAAGAGCAAAAAATGGACTCAATGGACAGATATTTAGGTAACTAGTAATTTAATTTCTTTGGTTTTATTTCAAAGTAAGTAATAACGTAGGTTTAATTTACCATTGTCTGCAGGCTCTAAATTCTTCTTGCTATACATGCTGTTTGTTACAGGATGCTGGTAAATGCTCTGCTAAATTAGTTAGTAGTATCCTTTTGTGTCTTTCTTTTTACCTATTAGTCTTACTTTCCTGTCCTCTGGGGTGACAGACTGCTTTGTAATACTGTGTTAAAGACTGACTGTCTCTTGAACAATGCTAAGATCAAAGATGTATTAAGAATTCACAAATTAAATATTTGAACTGCAGAACCTTAAACGTCTTTACAGAGCTGTTAAATAAAAACTTAACGTACATGGAAAAAAAAAGTGATCTGGGAGTTTGAAATACCACGTACAAGACTTGATTCTGTAAAAGACTTAATTTTAAACAATATTGCAGCCATTAAACCACAGATGCTTTGAAACTTCCTTGTCCATCTGAAAAAAGCACACATGGAAATTGAAGTAGTTTTAAACTGTCCAGATAAATCCAAGTAAGTCTAATGATTGTTGTTCATTTCATAGAGCTGAGAAACTTGGTGCTGAATAAAATCAGAACAAATTTTATGACTTCGATGTAATTTTTTTTTCTTAATTACAGTATCCTTCCGTGGAACCATGTACTTTCGAAGTTTTGGAATAACCAACATTTTTGATTCTGTCTTCCTCCTGATGTCTCAGATGGTGTTCAAGAGGTGGCATATATTCATTCCAATCAGAATGTGGTGGGATCCAGCAAGGCTGAAAATCACCTGAGCCGGTGGGCAGTGCGAGACGTGTTTGAGTTGAAGCAGTTTTCCCAGCTTCCTGCTAATGTTGCTGTCTGTAGTGCCAAGGTAAAGAGAAATGTTTGGAAATGTTGGTTTAACTCTTTTTTTTTACCCTCGTTTTTCATCTTAAAAAACTCCAAAAGACTTGTTTTTCTGTTAATGGCCACTATGAATGATCAAAGCCATTGAGGATGGGAGGAGGAGAAGGCTCAGTTGGAAGTCTAATAAATGACTATTGGTTTTTGGGGTGGCTTTTAAACAGCACAGCACCCTCTGTGGGATTTTTCTGTGAGAGAAATGGTAAGATTAAAGATTGGGTGTTTGAAATCAAATTCTGTGCCATGTTTTTCTCATTTGAGCCTTGAAAATTCTTTGGCTTGTCCTGGATCCGGTTTAAAAAAATCCAGTTGCCACAGCACATTCTGGAAAACTCTGTAGCATAGAAAGTCAAACATAAATCAGTTTGCAGGCTTTTTTGGGGAGGTGAGTGTGTGCAATTGCTGTAGTGAGTCAGGTTGCCTAATGTCTGAAACATACCACTAGAGTTTCCTGGGAGTGTTTATTTGCAGGGACAGATACCATTTAATGCTTTTTGTTGGTCATGCATCTTGTTTGATTGCATTGGGAATACATACAAATCTGGAATAAATTCACGTAGAGCTTCCAGATTTTTGTTCCCTTTACTTAGTGGTTTTAATCTACTCTGATTATCCGGGTACTTTGTTGTTTCTCTTGTAATAAACGTTTGCAGTTTCCGAGGCTGATGCTTAAGATAAATCACAAGCACAGAACAAGTAATTGGTGAATGTGCAGCTTAGTCTTCACAGACTTGTTAGCAATCATTATAGAAATTGTAGACATACATCTGTGTTGTTCTGGGGTGTTGAACATCCACAGTGGCTGGAAGAGTTTCTTCCAGTGTTGTTGTTGTTGTTGTTCTTGTACTGTATTTAATTAAGCCATTAGCACAGTTGCCAAAGAATTTTTAGACTGGGAAGATCAAACCAGGAGAACCAGTAAAAGTGAGGCCTTTTTAATTCTAACATATTTGCATTAGAATGTCCCTCAGTAACAGAAAAGTTGGTCAAAAATACTCAAGAGTACTGTAGAAAGGTACTTATTAATTGGCACTGGCTGACAACATTATTAAACTCAAATATAAATGAAAGAAAACTTTTAAAGGGAGTATATTGTCTAAAAGTCTGTTGATCCACCTCTGTTCAAAAAGTTTGTTTTGTTCCTGTAACTTAGAGCTTATTTTATGTGAGTGGAAGTATTAGAAATCAACTTCTCTTGATTAACTTGTCAGTTTTTATAAAATATAAATTTGTTGCTCAGAAGCAACAGTAGTATCACTTCTCTTGGAGAACTAAGTAGGAAGAAAAATATCAAAAATTATAGAGAAGTCTACCTCTTCCTTCACTTCCTGTTATTTCTTTTGCTCTAGAGGCACCAATCCAGAAATAATCCCTAGATGATGGCTTATTCTTAGATGTGGCACTCTGAATTTTTTTTCTGCTCTGCTTAAAAAAAGAGCTGCCAGAGCTTCACAGACAACTTTAAAAGATTCTTTATTACTTTGTTTTACTTTAGAAGGCATTTTGGGAAAAACATGGCTATTGTTGTGCTTCTGGCCATCAGTCTTTACTCGTCATTTTTACTTATTTCCCATCAGTTTAAGTCAGGACATTCACTGTCAGAGCAACTACTTGCATTATAAAAAGAATGCTGCTCTTATATAAAGTTTAATAAAATAATCGACAGATTAAAGTAGCATTGTATGTAATACTAAAAATACAGGTGAGTCATTTGAATTTCCATCATTGTTTTAAGTAAATAAAACAATTTTAAATAAATAAAATTACAGTTTTGAATGCTGGAATGTTAATTGGAAACTGATAGTTATTGAGAGGAGAGCAGAGTTCTATCAGACAAAATTCCTCACTTATGTCATTTTCTGGCATCATTGGTCTAATGGAGTTTCTCAGAAACTCTTTTGTAGCTGTTTGATTCTCTGGGTATCAGTGATCATAATTAGAAGCTATTTTTACAGTGTATTTATACGGAAGCTTTATTTCATAGTGTCATGAAGGCTCCTGATTAATATTTTTTCCCTGATAATATTTATGTCCCTTCCTAAGCACACATAATCAAACTCTCTTATTTCTAAGCAGAAGTGGAAAAGTTATTTTCCTTTCATTTCATAGATAAGTCTGCTTAGGACCAAAAAGTAAAATGTCCTTTGTGCTGTTCATTTTGCCTATGCCAACTCTGTCTTCCTGCTTTACAGTTTCACTCAGCAGGCTGTCTGTGATAATGCATTTCTGATTTAAGGTATTTCAAATATATTTTTCAAGTAATCACTAATATCTCTGTGAAAGGGGTTCCAGAATCCTTAAAAAACTAGAATTATTCCATTGAAGTGGATGAATTGCGAGTTGGGAGATACAAATTCCTCCAAATCTTGGTTGAGCACTTGAGTGAAACATTTTTGTTTCATGTTTCCATATTAATCTGGAATGACAGTGATAATGAGTGGTTATAATAAGCAAAAATAATCAATAACCTCCTGTAAGAACATTGACATGCTGATTTCTTGCTATTGACTAGTCATCGAATCACATTTTTACTTCACTAAATATATGTAAACTTCTATAGCCTCTGTTCTTTAGTTTCAATGGTAATTTATGGAAACTAGGTGAGCGAGTAAACTAAAAATAAATTGCTGGAAAGCAGTAGAAAACAATGTGTGCTTCCTGTTTTTCTACCTGTAGTAGCTAAAAGGAGTATAAATTAGGTTTATTAGTGCTTTCTTTACCGCTGAAGCATGGAGACTAATGTAGTTGCTTGAGCTGTAGAAACTACTTAAAGCTGGAGCAGACTGCAAAACCTGTGAGGACTCTGCTTTGAAAGTGAGAGAGGTTGCATGAGAAGAAGATCCTTGAGAGCCAAGGTATAAAGGGTGGTGGGGCAGCAAGTCTTATTCTTCAGGAGAGAAATTTGAAGGTATGTAGAGCACCTTGTTTAAGAATATGAGTAACTAACGAACTTGGATTTAAATTAGTTGTACAAAAATGTAAGACTTGAACACTTTTACTTAGCCTAAAGTTCATCTTGGTGATAGTTTCTTTCCCTAATTAGAGTTTAGAAGGTCTGTGTTAGATCTACATGGTTGCATTGGTGTAATTCACAGTCAAGTCTCTCTTAACCTTTTGAACTGCAGGCTTCAGTCAAGTTTATTTTTTATTCAGTAGTAAGTACCCAATCTGCCCGTAATTTTACCTGTGCCCAGTATTTGTATACCCCAGCTACCTTTTCTCTGAACGAAGAGACTTAATTAAATATTCATTGTGGTTTCATTAAAAAAATAGAAGATTACTGTCTCTATTACCACATCACTATCTGCTAAGGACATAGCTGAAAACAAAAAAAGGACTATCACAGAGAGAAGCATATGGGAAACAAAAGCTTCTAAAAGCAAACGTGTGAAATGAACCTGTAGACTGGACATGGTGAACTTACAAAGCCAGACCATAATTTTCAGAGCAGACATACAGTTATTTCAGCCTTCCAGAGGAAAAAAAATAGTCTTGAGAATTCATGAGATATATTGCTCAAAATTATTCTGACTTTACTAATTCGCAGGAGGAGGAATTGAAAGTGTTAAGAGCTTCACTTAGATCTTAGTCATTTAGTAAGTATTGATATTTTTGATTTATTTTTTGATTCTGGTGAGCTCCAAGTTCCAAAACAACTCGGCTGATTTTCAGTGCAGAATTTTTTTACTTACGTAAGTTTTTTGATAACTTGCACTGTTATCTGTGAAACTTTTTCTTACCTCCCATAAGAAGGAGAAACTTCCTGGAGGCGAGATTAAATATCTTCTTTCTAGTGTTTCTAGTCTATTCTCAATTAAATGACTGCATTCCTTAATGAATTTCCTAATTAATTTCTGTGTTAATTGGCAAAAACAGCCTATATGAAATGTTTGACACCAGTATGGAAGTCTGGGATAGGCTTTCTCTAATTCCTGTAAAGCTGAATTTGTGTAGTACTTCTTCAGTTGGAATCCAGGGTGATGGGGGAGTTGAGTGAGCCTGGGGAAATCTTTGGAGAAGGCTTGGATGTTTCACAAAAAAAGACAGAAAATGGGAACAGGACACACTAAATAATTTGGAAAACTGATGATGTCCCACATGAGAGCTAATTTTCACTTTTTAGTATGTGGAAAAGTGTTAGTCCGGAGACCACGTACTGTACCTGTTGAATATGTAGAGTCTCTTTTTTAGTCAACTGCATGTTTTCAACTTAAGTTTACTTTAAGTTCTACTGAAAAGAAATGTACAAAGACAGCCATTCAATTGAGGATTAATCACTATGGCAACAGAAATGTGGTGACTGAAAAGGGGGAGGATATATTCTTCCCTCAGCTTCCTGCCAGCTGTCATATTCAACCTTTGCGGCAGGAATTCAGGCCAAAATATAGACTGTGACCAGCTCTAAGAAACTTTATCTGTATTTTTATAAATTCGTACAAGAATTGCAGTATAAAGGAAGACTTAATCCTCTAAATTGGATGACAGACATTTGGCACTATTGCCAGTGTTTGACAGAGAAATAACGAGATGCTTTGTAGTAAAACCTGGATTAATGGTAAACCCCTCTTTATGTTATTGCAATGTGGTGTAAATGAAAAAACTAAGCATGCTGTCAGCCTAGGAAAAAACGTACCCTTTGTATCTCCACTGCAGATTTAAGTACTGTTGAGAATACTGTAAATACAAAAGTTGTGTCATTAAGAACTCCTCTTTATCTTATTTGTATTACATTGACATTTTGTAGATTATTTAAACAAAGACTTTCTATCAGTTGTAGGAACTCTGATTGCAGTGTGTTTGCACAGCTATCAGATTCAACAAGTTTAGATGGTTGTTTACAAAGAGTAGGCTTTTGGGAGATAACATGCCTTTATCTTTGTTCTTCTAGGATGGTGAACTCTTCAGCTTTAAAAGAATTGTTCCCACATGATTGGCCTGTAATGCTGCTTTTTTGAGTTTACTTTTTCAGTTTAAACATTCCAGTATGGCTTTTGGTCGTGTTTTTTAAATGTGGTCAGTTCATATGTGGCATTGTTGAGTGGCATTTTCATTATGATAATTGTGCGTGGCCTTTGGTTTTGCTCCTGTTTGATGGAAGGATGAGAAGGTGAAAGAAGATAGGAGTAAGTCCACAGACTTCTGCTGGAGTAAGCAGTTAGTTTAAACTTTGAATTCTGAGACAGGCTGACTATCTCCTGTCATTCTCAACAATAATAATAAATGTTGATTTATTGATAATATGATCATATGTTGATTTAAAATCATGTTTTTGTTGCAAGACAGTGATCTGTCATATAGCAATTATCTTTGCTAAAGGCTCAACAACTTAAATAAAACTACTCCTAATAAAAAATTCTTGCTCTGTTACCTGATTGTAGAAGAAACAGACTTGGAAACAAATGTGAAGTAGAGAGAGCACAGTTTGTTCACAGTTGACTTTAGTAGTCAATTCTCCACTACTATGCAAAAGAGCAGAGTTTGTGGAATGTCCTCCATCTCAGTTTATTTATGCAGAAAAGCTGTTTGGAACAAGCAGGGGAAAGTTAGTACATATTACTCTAAAATTTCTTTAGTTTTATTAACTTTAATTTTACTGGTCTCTTGGTTTGGCAAAATATTTTGGAGGAGTAATTTAGAGCCATAATAAATCTTAACCTTTATTGTAACTTGAAGCATAATTCAGCATATATTCAAGAAAAGCATATGAAAAGGTCATAATAACTCACACATAATATCAGAAAAACTTCCCGGGGGGGGAAGAAAAGGAAGAAAAAAAAGAAAAACTATATAGAATTGTAATTTGGGTAGATAATGAGGCTGGAATGCAGTATCAAATGATCAAATTATCAATAATCATCCAAAACCAACTGCAAATCACAAATGTATATGCAAAGTCATGTATTGCCTCAGGTTTTGAGGAGAGTGGGAAAATAGAAAGTAGGATATGGCATAAGGGTTTATTTGCTTGTAAGATGTGTTTTAAGAGTTCAGTCACCCTGAATTCATTGTGTTTCATGCTTTTGTATTATTTTGGGGGACTGCAAGACAACAAGCCATTTGAGAAGGCCATTCTTGTTTGTTTGAGAAATGAAAACAAACAGTGGAACTGTGCGGTGTAAGTGTGTGTCCTGGGTATCTGACAGCAATGGTCTCACACATACCTGAAGAGAAAAACCTGGTAACATGTTTCAGCTGTGAGTTGGGAAATCAGGGGGTTATTGCTGACTGGAAGTCAGTATCTGGCAAGATACTGCAGGGATACTTTGGGTAGTTAGGCAGTAAAAGAGAGGAAGATGGTCAGACACGGTGCAGCTATGGGTGAAGAATAATTATGCAAACATATTTGCAACTTTAGATTCAGGCTGTTGAGGAACGTTCATTATCCTCCAAGTCTGGTGACTCAGTGAATTGCCACAGATATGAGGCAGCTTGAAAAAAAAGTATCCCTGAGCCTCTCTTTTCTCTCTTTTCTCTCTTTTCTCTCTTTTCTCTCTTTTCTCTCTTTTCTCTCTCCTCTCTCTTTTCTCTCTCCTCTCTCTTTTCTCTCTCCTCTCTCTTTTCTCTCTCCTCTCTCTTTTCTCTCTCCTCTCTCTTTTCTCTCTCTCCTCTCTCTCCTCTCTCTTCTCTTTTTTCTGTTCTCATCTAACTCCCACACCTTTTCATCTTGCTGTATTTGCTTTGCTAGAAAGGAGTAAAGAAAAGGAGTGAATTTGCTGGCTCAAGGTGGCCAGTCATCTCAGTCATGTCTAAAGATGCTTATACATGAATTAGCATTCATTGCTCCAGAATATTGAGCTGCTTCTTTATGCCTTTTATAGGAAGAACAGATACTGAAGTTTTGTACTGTCAAAGATAGACAAGAATTGGTTTTGGTAGGTGCATACTAGTTTTAAAACTTCCATACTTAGGCAGCAGGAGACAGATTTTTATCTTTGATGTCAATGTAATTATTTCACTGCACCTTCCTCTGCTGCCCCCAAAGGTTTTTACGGAAAGGAGAAAATGTGGATACAGAAATGTGTAATGGTTTTACAGATAATTCAGTATAGGCACACTTAATTTATCAGATGACCAGTAAGTATGTTTTCCAGTTAAACTGAAACTTTTCCCCTTTGAACAGCTGAAATTTCTTAAAGTGCACTGCAAATGCTTACTGTCTTTAATGTATTTAAATATTTAGTAAAGACTAACTGCTTTTATGATTGCTGTCATTCTCCCTATCAAAATTCTTTTAAAATACATTTAGCAGACAGTGTATGATATATGTGTGCTATAGCATACAGTGAAGGGGTTTTATTTCCTTTATTATTTCATTCTCTTCGTCCTAGCATTTATTGATTCATAAAGGGTGTGACATTAATAATATAAATAGTTTAAATGTGCTGGTATCAGTAGTGTCAGAACAACAGTCTGATGCTCCTAGTTGAGTCAAATTCTCTTAATTTCAGTCTTACATTAGGAGACTGTCTTTCACATGTGATATACATGATAATTCAGGTGAAGGTGATCAGTGCTGTATAGTCATGGTGGGATTTCATGTAGAAACAAATAATGGGGACACACTGGTTTGTTAAAGAAGGTGCTCGAGGAACAGAAAATATAGAAAGCTGTTGAAAGGAAGTTTTCATCATGAAATCTGTGAGTTAGAGGGCAAACATTAAAAGATAATTGGAAAGATATTGGCCATGAGAACAATAAATTAAGGAGGGTTATCCATCCAGTCAAATTCAAAAGAAAGCAAAATAGTGTGAAATGTTGACAATGCTGGAACATGACTGAAGTTTTTGCTTTTTTCACGATAATTCTAAGAGAAGGCTAGAGGGAGTATTTTCATCCCAGTGTGCAGAGCTTACCTCTGCATAAAACCTGTTATCCATATATCACTCACAGTAACAAACTTCAAATTTGACCTTTAACAAACATGGAAACATCTTAAAAAAATCTGAAAAAAGTGGTTTGGATTTGCTGAAGAAGTGTTCATTGTTTTTCAAAAAGAAGTTATTGGATTTGGGAGTTGGGGGCTGGAATTTCTGAAAGATTCACCAATTCAGCAGAGCCAACCATTGTGTTTCAGCGCAATTGGGTACCATTTAACCAATTGCCTTTGCTCCAGAAAACCAAGATAAGCTTTTCATGAGTATCTCACAGTGACCACAGGCTTTCACTGGCATTAGCTCCTTCAGCTCTTGTGCTAACTTTTTTATAGTCACTTTTTCTACCTTAAGGAAAAAAAAAAATCTTTAAGCAGCTTATTTAGGTAGAAGAGGAGCTCTTTGTGTGTATATGGTGGTATTTGGATGTTGTTTTTTTGGGTGTGGCACTGTGGGTCACTGTACTTAAAATTTTGTCCTTCCTGAACTAAATATGCCATTTGTGCATTTATTTGCAATTAGCAATACTTCTAACATTAATTCTGTTCCTCTGCAAAGACCAGCAGTTTTATGACTTTCAGTGTGTTTACAGCATTTGGCTTTTTTCCCAAAGATACTAAAAATCTTCTGTGTTTGAACAGATGTGTAAACCAAAGTATTACTGCCTCATATACTTTGGTCTTGTTTAAAAAGAGGTAGATGGATGCATATTTATGGGACTTTAAAATACCTTTAAGACAGGCACTGACGTGGCTAGTCTTGTATTATATGGGAGTTACTCTTTCTTGAATTAAACTACACAGCCCTGATTTACTGACAGAGTGAAAATATGCCAAGTCTTAGCATAGTGAGATCTGAATACTATGAATATTTTTCATGCAAAATTTCCATCAAAATAAATATATTTTAAAACTATCATTGCTTTCTTCTTTCAAAGTTCTGTATTATCCATACATTGGTTAAAAAAAAAATTAAAATGTTAACAAATGTATACAGAACCAGCAAGAGAATTGTAAAATATTTATGCTGTAGGTAATGACTACTAATTCAATCTTAATTTTGTTACTAGCATTATACTATTATTGGGAGGATAGGGGTTTTATCTCAATTGGGTACTTGGCTTCAGTTTTATATAGTGTAACTTAAAATAGTGCAGTAGAATTTTAAGCTTTGGAGTTGTGCATTTGTCCTAAAGTGAAAATTTATGTCTTTAGGTCCCAAATATTAACATCTCTCTCTGTATGGTAGCTCGAGGTTTCTCACCAAAGTAAAGTTAAGAACAGATGTGAGATCCTAAAGCTCAAAAACCTTGTGAACGGCCCATGGAAATGAGAGAAATGGACACGGATCAAATAGAAACACATTGAGAAGAAACATTGTAAATCTGAAAGCAAATTTTGAACTGCAGATGACAAGGTGTGAACACAGTTTGTGTTTTCATCTCTAAAGTAGTGTTAGTAGGGAGACTGAGGGCATCACTAAGCAGCTATTCTTTCCTGTGATTTTATTTGAAAAAACTAAAAGGAAAAGGTACTATTGTTTTTTTTATGTGGGTTTTTCTTCTGTTTTTCCATGCTCTTCATACACATTATTGAATTTTCTTATTTCCTTTGACTTGCTTTTTGGCAAAGGGGAAATTTTGATGAAAATTCGTGAAAATTTCTGAAAAATAATTCAGGTGTAAATAGGATTGTATTTTTGTTCTAGATATCAGAGAACCAAGACTTCCCTTCCACATCCCTGGAATTTGTGACTGCGTAGGGACTCTGATTTGCAGCTGTGAATCCCAGTCTGAGTGCTAGCTAGGAGTGAGAGAACTGGGTGCAGTAGAATTCATCATTCTGTCAGAGACAGAGCTGTCTTAACGATTTCAATGTCTCATTTTACTAGGAAAATGATGAAAACCCGGAAGACAACACTGCAGAGAAGAGCATTATTAAGGGAGGGCAAGAAATGCTGATGAACAGTAAGCAACATCATCTGTATGTCAGGCATCCTGTGACCCAGAGAAAGAAAAAAGTATGCAGAGTAGGTTCAACCACCTTCTTGATTGGAAAGACACCCAAAGGAATACGCAGGTGAGGCTGTTTTGGTGAGTTGGAAGTAAAATTCTAAGGTTAAAACAAACTTCCCTCTGGGTGGTTGTTGCTTTTGTCCTTATTTCAGCCCTACTCAGGGAATACTGATTGTTTTCTCTGACAAGAGTGGAACTAGTGGGAAACTTCCACTGCCACCGCATTAGGAGTACTGCAGCTGATTAATTGAACACACAAATTAGAATGAAGAACCCTTCATTCTAAAAATATTCAGAACTGTAATCATAGTTCTCAGTAGTTTGTTGAGGTAAAATTTTGGTTGGTTCATGGTCATATAACACATAACTGTGCAGATGTCATCATGACAAGTGTTCAGGGTATGTTCTTCATGCACAACTACAAAACAGTGATTAAACTGTATAAAACAAGACATTTTGTAGTGTGAGCTTCTGACTGCCTACTGGTTTTGCCCAGATCTCATCACTTTCTTTGAAAGACTAATTAAAAAAAAAATTGGACTTTGTGTTTCTTTTGTAACATGAGACTCAATATTTTTTTAGTATTTTTTTTAATGTTTTGTTTCTCCCCTCATTTTTGGAGTGATAATAATTTTTCTGTTCCCTTGCTTTCCCTTTTCCCCCAAGCAATTGTTATTATTAAAATGAATTTTGAATTCCATTGTTACATAGATAGAAGTTCAATAAAAAGAGCCAGGTGGCATGTGGAAATAGAAAGTGGAAATCTGTAGCTGAGCTGACTAAGCAAATATTTACATAAAAACGTAAATAAATACCTATAGAATAGATATTTGGAAAAACTAAAAGGAAAAGGTACTGTTGCTTTTTTATGTGGGTTTTTCTTCTGTTTTTTCATGCTCTTCATACACATTATTGAATTTTCGTATTTCCTTTGGCTTGCCTATGTATTTTCAATTTTGTCTTGAGACAATTAAATTGCTATATGAGAACTGACAGGTAGGTAGTGCCTGTAAGTGTTCAGGATCTGTCATATCATCTCTCTGACCTCAGCTGTCCAAACTGTTACTGTAGAGCTGCTGGATTTGTTTACCAGAATAGACACTGACAATTCTAAATATTTACCAGGCAGGTAAAGAAGAGCCTTTCATTCTAAAAATATTCAGGACTGTAATCGTAGTTCTCAATGATTTGTTGAGGTAAAATTTTCTAAGGTAACAAAGTGACTGAGGCTGTTAATTCCAAGATCCTAAAGCCATATCTGGCAAAAAGCTTAAACCATTCACTCTTAAACATGAAGCAGGTCATCTGTTGGCACCTGGCATGCAGTTAGGCTTGGTGTACATGTGGATATGCCATGCAGTGAGTGAGGATGATTGTGTCTCAGTCCCTTTTAGTTGTAGGGCAGAGTGGGAAGCTGTCTGCAGTCACCTATTTAAGGCAAACAGTGTTACATCTTGCTGCCTTTTGGAGCCCCCATTCAGGAAAGACAACATGTTTGATATCCTTTCTCTGACATGGGAGGGTAAAGCCACCTCTCCAGCCTTCCAGTAAGGTTACCTGACCCCAGACTAGGGCTAACTCAATTAGAGTGATCTCTTTGAATTAGATCTTGGCCTTTCAGCAGAAATATATTCCATAACTCACTGGGTAGGATGATGTGGACAGTCCTTGTCTCCTGTGAAAGCTTTTATCCAACTCTTGTTTAGCAAGTCTTCTTCAAAAGAAATCTGAGCAACTATTTCCTCCACCTGCCTTCCCTCCCTAAAAGAAACCAAACAACAAACCAAACAAAAAACCCCCAACATTCAACCATCTGTCCATCTACACTTTTTTAGTAGGTAAATGCCTTCAGAAATCTGACCCTTTCTTATGGTATCTTACCTACAGTGACAGTCAGTAAGTCTTTGAATCGCAAGCTGAGGAAATCACAGTGTAGTTTGGGATTCAAAAGTCATTTCAGTTTTTCTGAAGTTATTATTCTTTCTTCTCTTTGCTAATAAAAACCAACAATGCTTCTAATAAGGGAGTTACTTCTGCTGATTACCTTCTGGATTATGTGAAGTAAGTGAATTGAATTAATCTCTTGAGAGCTGCTTTTGTTTCTAGTTGAAGGTGTCAGAATAACACGTTTTTCCTTTTTGATAATTACAGGACACAATTTGAGGAAATGGTATCCCACTTTAATATGGGATCAGTGAAGGACCTTGCAGAACATATTGCAAAAGCTACCTCAGAAACAAGGCAGAACATGTTGAAGGAATTCTATGTTTCCAAGCATCCAGAGGTGGAATCTTTCTTCTCAGTTGAAATACCAGTACGAGATTTATGTGACTGTGAGGGAGGAGAACTGGGTACAGCACAGTCTAGAAAAAGAAAATCCATTGTTAATTTTGGAAGATCAAAGTCTAGGCCTTCATTGACTGAAGCACTTCTGAGCAGAACTACAGAGACACGGGCCCAGCAGACATGTAAGGGAGGAGCAGAGAAGCTTCCCAATGACTGCTGCTCACAAGATGTGTTTGTTGATGCAAAATGTAAACAGTCACCCACTGTTGCTACTCAACATATTGAAAGGAGAAACAGTCAGGCATTCAAGGATTTTATGGCATCTGGCTCATTAAACAGTGAATCAGAGGTGCTGCCTGTCAAAAGTTGTGAAGGACAGCAGGACTCAGAGGGAACACAGCTGCCAAAAAAAAGATCCCTGTCTCAGTCAGAAAACGGAGAGAGAAAAGCTCAGATTTATAAGCAAAAGTCTTTTACGGACTTACTTGGAGATACCTCTATTCTTAATGACCTCTTCAGAAGTGATGGAAATGGGCCTGCAGGATCACCAAGAAGATTCTCTTCAGGGCAAGTAGAAAAATCAAAGGGGAAACCAAAAGATTTCTGGGATATGCTGAATGAGCAGAATGAGGAGAAGCTCAGCAAGCTCACGGACATAGCAGTCATACAGAAGCTGTGTGAAAGAGCACCTCGTTCCACAGTGGCAGAAGAGACAGAAGTGTGTGAAGGTTCTCTTTGGAAAAAAAATGAAAATTTTCTATGGAAAAAATATGGTGCAGGTGATTCAGATGAACCGTCCAGTGCTAAATCTTGTAATGCAGTAAAATGAAAGTTTGCACTTTAATTATTTTAGTTGAACATTGAAGAACTTCAGCAGTATGGAATAAAACATTGTAACTCCATGAAATTAAAGGCAAAATGATGAATTCATATCTATAGTGAGAGAGAATTATATTTTACAGGTGTGAATATGTATGTAACAACATGCAAATATGTATGTAATTACATAATCAGTGTATACATATGGGCATAGTAATGCATATAGACTACATATATTGTTAGCTATGATATATTAATTTTAAATTAAACTTTTTTTAGAATTTTCTGAGTGCACTTTGCTTTCTTTAATTCTATTTCTGGGCTCAAAAGCTGTGCTTTGTAATTTTTTTCCCTTTACTTACGTTTGGACACCCTCAGTCATCTCAATAATCCAAGGATAACAGGATTGATATTTCATATGTTTTCTGAGGTACTAGAGACTGAGGCACGTCCTGAGACAGGGATGGTGTCTTTGTGTCCAGTAGTTTTTGATGGGTTCCCACCCTCCATGATTTTGCTCTGTCTCTGAAGCTGTGGAACTTGTAGGTCCTCAGTGTCCTGTCCGACTCAGCTTGGCCGATGTGAAGAACCACCAGTTTTTGTTTGTTTGGTGTTTTTCATTAAGTGATGCTAGGTGTAGGATTTCATCTCCCTTTTTATTTTTATAGGCATAATTATGTCTTTGTTAGTTGTTGGGAATATGCAGTACAGTATGTATGGACTAAGATATTATCTTCTGGAATGCTGGATATAATAAAGCTTCTCAATGAAAACCGTTCTTCACAGATTGGAGGAGTGGTTATAAGATACACAGTGTTGTATCTCATTTGCCAAATAGTCAGTCACATTTTCCAATGCTGTGGGATCATGTGAGGAGTACCTTGTAACACATGATGAAAAGAGGCCAGGGCTTCATGTTGCTCTGGAAATCTTAACTCTAATCCTTGGTTTTGGTGAGTTGCAGATGTAATGTGGTATCAGTGCAGGGGTTTACACTGTGTATACTGTATAAAGTGTTTTATGTGAAGGGTAAATGTTGTGGAGTTTTAAAACCTTGGACACTGAACTTGCTCAGCAGCACTGTGAATGGTGGTAGTTTTTGTGGTGTAGATGACTGTCCATTGAAAAATAAGCTTAAATTTGATCTGGAGCAGCTTCTGCTTTAGGTCCTGGGAGCTGTTGTAGGCTGCACTCTGTCTCTGTTTCAAACATTGTGCACGTTTTTTTAGGTAGAAGCCATCTAGAATCCTAATTAGGAAATCTGACTTAACTACCTGGAACAAGGAGCTGAGTATTTAACATAAATGTTAAAGTAATAAAAGCCTTGGTCTTTACAGGTAACCAGCATAAGTAGGATTAATGTGTAACTTTTTCTCACCCTGAATCTATGCTGTTACCACTTTATTTAAGATAAATCTGAAATTTAGGATAGTTGGAGTAGCTTTTTAAAAACGTTTGAACTAAGAAAATAAAAGAAGCTGTAAACTGTTAGGCACGGGTGCATCTGAGTTATGTACAGCTGAAGGAAGTCAGCTTAAGTCAGGGAATAGGTATACCCTTCTTGTTGATTTTAATAAATAGGACATAAATTAAGGCCTTTTGATGGTGGCATCAGTATTGATTTTCATTACAGGTTATTGTTCTTATGCTTAGAGAGGCAAACTCTGCTTAGGTGAGGAAGAGAAGATTTGATGGAATAAAGGAGATGGTCATGAAATACGTAAAAAAACTTCTGCATAAAGGAAGGGAATTGTCTGTTTGTGTCTACAGCAAAAAGAGGAGTTAAGCGGCTTAAACTGCACTAAAGATAACTGAGGTTAGATAGTAGACTCTTTCTGAGAAAGACTGTCAAAGAAACTCTGTAAGGGTAAATATTAGTAGGTTGTGTAATGCCAGTATTGGTTATAATCAAAAATAGGAGAGAATACGCTTAAAAGTTGCATAGATGAAACTGTCCTTTTTTTAGACCACAAGAAGAGACTGATAACTTCTCAATCTGAGGGCCAGAAGGGGCTAAATAACCTTTTTGATTTCAGCTGATATGAGTGCACTCAGGAGAGTCTTTACCTGAGCAGGTTGGTCAGTCACAGTCTGAATCAGTGGACACCAGCGAGGGCAAAATCTGATCGAGTTCTTTTTACCCGTTTTAGAAGAACCTTAGAGCAGTGGAACTTTATGGGTAGAAGGCTGATCTGCAGGTTCAGATGATATGCACGAATCAAAACTTCCATAGATGTGCTCGTTTTATTCACGTGTATGCCAAATACTGACAATGTATTTGTGAAAATCTGTTTGCTGTGTGCAGTTGAATTGAGCTATGGAAAGACGTCTTGAAGTAAGATGTATGACACTCCATAGCTTCCTGTGTAATGTAATGTATTTTACAAGGGGATATCACCTAAGTATAAATACTGCAATTTAGTGCCCTGGGGATCTGTCTGTAAAATGTTCTTGACGTGGAGATGTCTGTATAATTTTAAAAAAAGAAGCTGAACAAATTAAAAAAAGAATTTACCTACATTTGAAGACAGATCCTTCAAATACTAAAACCGAAGAGATCCATTCTATCTTCTTAGAAATCTGTGATTATGATTTTGTTTGGCTTTGAAAACGAAGGAGGCTTTGGGGGATGTTGTCTTGAGGGTTATGGTGGTGTGGAGTTCATACAGCTCCCATGTGCAGGTTCTTGCAGGGAGGTATGGGCTACAGGAAAACTCTTAACAACCTCCTAGCACAAGGAAATAGCTTTGTGGTAGTTGTCACCTGATCTGGATATAAATCATTCAGGAGGAGAAGGGTGTCATTGCTTTCGGGTGGAAATGGTGTGCGAAGTTTTTGCTGTTCCCTGTTGCAGTGCCCTTGTTCTTTCACTCAGTGGAGTTCGTGTGGGTCTGGCACTGGGTCCCTGATGTAGCAGCTGGTACCAATAGTTCCTGTTACCTGTAATGAAAATTCTTTGACTGGAGAGAAAATAAGTTGCCAGAGAAGTAGCAAGAAATCTTGCCCTGCCTGTGCTTACAAATGCACCTATCTCAGCAACCAGTTTGCAAAACTGTCACCAGACCTAGTCAAAAACAGGAGTGTTTTGAGTCTGATTTACGGTGTAGTTTGGAGTGGTCTGAAGTGTGATTTGCAAACTGGGGCTATGCTTAGAACTGCATTGTGGGGGTAGCTGTGTGGTACCCAGATTTCATGTTTGATCTGGGGGCGGGAGACTGAATAATTTCAGGTAGTGATAAGGTCTCAGAAAGTCAGGGTACAAACATCTTGTGTACACATTAAGGCAGTTTGAAAGGATGTATTGGCTCAGTTTCAGCAGGTGGTGAGTTCAGGCACTGGAAGGCAGAGTGGTGCCTGTGCCATGGCTTCAGCCCAGTGAGTGAAAACAGCATTAACAGGAGGAAAGGGTAATTGGTAATAGCATTATCAAAGTATCACAGGGTGTTTTGAAGGTGATAATTATTGTTACTACATAAGAAGATGATTTAAGTTAAATTCCTTAGGAATCTCAACTGCAGAAGGAGGAGAGGATTCTTTTCTTCCAAGGAACCATTTAACTGCCTTTGCTGCTACATATTTTCCTGTTCATGCAGTGCCCTGCATATCTTATTCACTGCATACATTCCAGTTCATGCAATAAGTGAGGTAATATTCCAAAAACTCTCTCTCCTTGCATGTTCCCCAATTCAGTACATCTTGAGTTGGTGCATTCTATAGAAAAAGAGTGATGACTGCCTAAGTAGGCTTCATGCCAGTCTGCCTTCCTGATAATAGAGGCACCTGAAAAGTAGGAAACTGGCTTGAGGTAACTAAGGAAATGCAATTTCTGCTATTGAAATTGGCTGTTTAGTTCACAGATGAGAGAGGTAGGCAGTGATTCAAAGCATTTCAGAGGTATTCCTCTCACCCTGTAGATCCTATGCATATCATAACAGTGTCCTAATTGCCTGAATGAGTCTGTATCGTATACATGATTCTGCCAGCTAATTCTGAAAGAGGAAGAAAGTACATCCAAACAAGATGATTGGAGGGCTTCAGAGTTATTTCTGGTTTGGTCAGCATCCAAAAAGCTGAATTTCCTTTTTCAAAGACCAAGTGAAGATTGTGCTCTAAAATAAAAGGCATAATTGAATGTAAGCATGAGGTATATGCATGATACTTGAGGACAGATTGTCTCAGTTCTCTCAGTTTGCTTGAGCTGAGAGGATGGAACTGAGTGGTCAGAACCTGGCCTTGTGTCTGTGTCCACATGTAGTGCGACCAAATTGAGACTGCACACATCACTTCAACTAACTGGAGCATAAACAGGCCCGCTGCACTAAAGCATTGTTCTCTGAAAATGCACACAGTGTGGTTTGTGTTGGTCTGTTTTGGCCTGTTGCAATGGCTGGACGTTGGTTGTGTGTTTGATACCAACATTCTCGATCCCTAATTGCTGCACCCATTGAAGTGGGAAAGCAGTGGGGATACCTGGGGTGCTGAACGAATACCTGCTCAACTCAGACTGAATCTGTATTTTCCTTCAGCAGAACTGTTTGTACTGGAAGGATTTTATTCCACTTTAGTTTGATATTGTTTCCATCAAGTGAATGCTTATGTAAACATGATCTCACATATCACCCTGAAAATCATTCTATGCCAGTTACTTCCAAAACAAATACCAGATGTCTGTTTATATTTGAGGTAACTGCTCACAGCTATTGCCAGCACTTGCCTCTTGGTTGAGGCTGTGGTGGAAGTCCCATCACAGTTTCTGGTTGTTCTGGTTCATAATTCTATGGCAAAGAAAACAAATTCATACTGGGGTCTAATTGGGACTGTAATTTAAGTGCCCCTAAGAAAGCTGTTATCTTAAAAGTTCACTTTGGTGCTTTGGTCTCATCACAGCGAACTCAGAGATTTAACTTGTCCTGGTCCTTCTAAATGCAGATGCTGTAATAGCATAGCTACAGGATTTTGGGCTCCTTTCGCTTCTCTCTCAGCCCTCCACTGTGTCATAGTTGTGGTTATATATATATTTCTGTAACTACAATGTGCTAATTCTAATTTAAGAGTCTTATACTTGAGGGCAGTATCGAGGAGTATCTTCTCATTAGTCAAATGTTGAGGTTCAGTTCTGCTTCTGATGCTTCACTGCAGTATTTAGGATTAACGGAGTCTAAGTTCCTTGTAAGGGACATTATTACTTTTCATTACTGAATGCTTTAATCATTGCAGGTAGATAATATATATTTTATATATGTATTATATATATACTGTCTGGCACATATTATACATATATATGTATGTATAAA